CACTACTGGGTATTTACCCCAAAGACACAGATGTAGTGAAAAGAAGGGCCATATGAACCCCAATGTTCATAGCAGCAATGTCCGCAATAGCCGAACTGTGGAAAGAGCCCAGATGCCCTTCAACAGGCGAATGGATAAAGAAGATGTGGTCCATATATACAATGGAATATTATTCAGCCATCAGAAAGGATGAATACCCAACTTTTACATCAACGTGGATGGGACTGCAGGAGATTATGCTAAGTGAAATAAGCCAAGCAGAGAAAGTCAATTATCATATGGTTTCACTTATTTGTGGAACATAAGGAATAACATGGAGGACATTAAGAGAAGGAAGGGAAAAATGGGCGGGGGGAATTGGAGGGAGAGATGAACCATGAGAGACTATGGACCTGAGAAACAAACAGGGTTTTAGAGGGGAGGGGGGGGGAATTAGCCCGGTGATGGGTATTAAGGAGGGCACGTACTGCAAGGAGCACTGGGTGTTCTACAAAAACCGTGAATCATGGATCACCACATCAAACACTAATGATGTATTGTATGGTGACTAACATAACATAATAAAATAAAATTTAAAAAAATAAAATAAAAATAACTAAATAAATAAATAAGTTCTCTGGACCCTAGTTTTCCTGCCAACTACTACCATGTTTCTCTTCTTCCCTTTACAGGGTAATTCTTTGTGACAGTAATCTCTATTTACTCTCTCCCCTTCCTCTCTTCCCATTCCCTCTTGAACCCACTCAAGGGAGGCTTTTGTCTCCTACCATTTTATCAAAGTTGCTCTTGTCAGAGTTATGAATGATCTCCTCCCAAAGCACATGGTCAATTTTCAGACCTCATTTTACTAGATGTTTTTAAGAGCATTTACTATAGCTGATCATTCTCCCCTTCTCAAAAAAATGTCTTTCTTTGGCTTCCAGGGCATCATACTCCTCTTGTATCTTTTTACATTACTGGACACTCCTTTTCAGTCCCTTTTGCTGGGTCCTTTTCCACTTTGTACCCCTGTTTGTTGAAGTGCTACAGGGGTCAGCCATAGCTCTCTCCTCTTCTTCCTATACTCTTACTCCCTAGGTGATTTCATTTAGTTTCCTGACTTTAAAAATTATGTTTGGTGTTCTGCTTTAGAATAGTTTTAGTACCCCCTCTCCTTTTCTGTAAGTGAAAAATTGAAGAGAGGTAATAAAAAAAATCTCTTTAATTTTTCACTTGCAGATTTTCAGAATATGTCCCTTCTGCTTCTAGAGTCCTTATGTAGAATACACATCATCCATTAAATTCATGCATATGAAGCTTCATTGCTGACTAGATTTCCTTTTTATCTTCTCCTGTCTTGAATCTGTGTTAAGGTGTTTTTTTTGTTTGGTTATTTTCTTAAGTAGTTTTTCCTTTTCTGGTTTACTTGTGTTTTATAATTTTGGAGATATTGGTAGGCCTCAAATATCTTTTTGCCGTTGCTTACAAGTAATGGATATCTTGGCTAGAATAAAGATTCATGAGTTCTGCTTTCTGTTCAGGTAGTCCAGATCCTCGTTCATGGTTTTTTAGCTTCTAGTGTTGATCATGATAATTCCAATGCCAGCCTTGGTTTTTCCATTTATGGATAGTTGGTTTTTTTTTTCGTTTTTTTTTTTTTTTAAGAATTTATTTATTTGACAGAGAGAGACGTGGTCAGTTGTTTTTCTATGATGACTCATTGAAAATTATGTCTTGTTGTTGAACTGTTCTTAACTGCAGGAATCCTGGTCCTTACCTAGTCCTTACCATTCCCTTGATGCACATATCCAGTTGCCTACTTAACAGTTCGACATGGTAATCTAATGGATACAAAGGTTGCATGTCCCATGCTTGATTGTCATCACCAGACCTACTTCTCCTGAGTCTTTCTCATCACAGTGAATGGCATCTCCACCATTTTTTAGGGTTAATTGCATAAGCCAGTATCTTAAGATTCATTCTTGACTTCTCTCTTTTATTTTTACATCCACATCCCAATTGATCAACAAATCCTATTGGCTGTACTTTCAGAATGTACCTAAATTGATCACTTCTTACCCCCTCTACCTCTACCACTCATCTGTACCTCATTATTTCCCTCCTGGTCTACTGCAGGTGCTTCCTTACTGTTCTTCCTGCTTCTGCTCTTGCCCTCTACAGTTTATTCCATATAACCAGAGTAATCTTTTTAAAAGGTAAAATATTGCTTCCCTCCAAAGGCTTCTAAGAAAAGCCAAACTCCATGCAATCGCTTATGAGGCTCTCTATGCCATACGGCTCTCCCAGCTGCCTTCCAACCTTATTTTCTATCATTTTCATGACGTAGTGCATGTTAGTCACATTAGCTTCCTTGTTCCTTCTTAATTGCATCATAACCCTCTTATCTCAGGGCCCTTGCCCTTGCTGATCACTTTGTTTAAGAATACTCTTCTAACAGGGCTCAGGGCTTCCAGGGCTGCTTCTGCGTGGCTCAGATGGTTAAGCCTTCGGCTCAGGTCATGATCCTAGGGTCCTGGGGTTGAGCCCCGCATCGAGCCCCGCATTTGGCTCCCGGCTCAGCGGGGAGCTTGCTTCTACCTCTCCCTCTGCCTCTCCCCCTGCTCATGCTCGCTCTCTCTCTGTATCTCTGTGTCTCAAATGAATTAACAATATCTTAAAAAAAAAAAAAAAAAAAAAGAATAGTCTTCTTCCAGATTTTCTCAACGATTCTCTTCCTCATTAAATTTGTGTCTTGCTCACATGAACAGACGTTTTTCCAAAGAAGACATTCAAATGGCCAGCAGACACATGAAAAAAATCCTCAACATCACTTGGCATCAAGGAAATAGAAATCAAAACCGCAATGAGATACTGCTTCACACTGGTCAGAATGGCTAAAATGAACAACTCAGGAAATAATAGATGTTGGTGAGGTTGCAGAGAAAGAGGAACCTTCTTACCCTGTTGGTGGAAATGCAAACCGGTGCAGCCACTCTGGAAAACAGTATGGAGGGTCCTCCAAAAGTTAAAACTAGGACTACCCTATGACCCAGCCATTGCACTACTGGGTATTTTTCCAAGGAATACAAACATAGTGATTCAAAGGGGCACATGCACCACAGTGTTTATAGCAGCAATGTCCACAATAGCCAAAGTATGGAAAGAGCCCAGATGTCTATTGACAGATGAATGGATGAAGAAGATGTGGTATATATATTACTCAGCCATCAAAAAGAATGAAATCTTGCCATTTGCAACAACATGGATGGAATTAGAGGGTGCTAATTGAAATAAGTCAGAGAAGGACAAATACCATATGATTTCACACGTATGTGGAATTTAAGAAACAAAACCTATGAGCATAGGGAAAGGGAAGGAAACATAAAGATAAAAACAGAGAGGGAGGCAGACTATAGGAGATACTGGCTTATGCATGTAACAAACAGGATTGCTGGAGGAGAGGTGGGTAGGGGTATGGGATAGTTGGGTGATGGGCATTAAGGAGGGCACTTGATGTAATGAGCACTGGGTGTTCTATGTGACTGATGAATCACTAAATTCTACCCCTGAAACTAATAGTATAGTATATGTTAACTAAACTGAATTTAAATAAAAAATATTTTTTTAATTGTGTCTTGCTCAAATCTCTTCATAGTGCCTTATCATAAAGACTGTTCCCTACCATTCTATGGAACAGATCCTTTTCTATGTGGCCCTATACCACCTTACCCTGTTTGAGTTTTATTAGCACCTTTTACCACTTAAGCCACATGTTTGCTTATTGTCTTCTTCCAGGCACCCTCTATGAAGAAAGAACTCTGTAATTCACTGCTCTATATCTCTAGCACTTAGAACAGTGCTAGGTACATAGTAGACACTTAATATACACTTCAAGTGACATCTTTACCAAATTTGAATTGCATTTTAAAATGAAAAAATAAGTATGCATGTGTACCTTTCTGGGAATAAATCATGTTTTTAAATTATTTTTTAGTTTTCTGTTTGTTAGACTTGTTTGCAAAACATGTAATACACTTTTTTACTTTTGAATATGTTTTCAATTTCAGTTCAAGTATTTGTATTTTATTTTTCTCTAAAAATACTCATTATGTAACCTGACTTTTTTTTCTAAGATTGAAATTCCATTTTACCTATAACTTATCCTTTGATGGTATATTTATTACCAAATTCTTAGTTTGTGTTTTATTTTAAAAGAAATCTTATAAAACTGTGTAATGTTAAGACCATTGGGAATAAGGGAAGAAGAGAATAGAAATAAGTACTTTATTCTTTTCTAATTCTAATATTCTAGTGTTTTCTAGGTTGTTTGGAAATCCCCTCAGTTACAAGATTGGCTTTTCCCCATATGACGTACTCAGTGTTTCTAAGGGACCCCTCATGATCCTAACCACACCTGCTATTCTTTCTTTTTGTTCTTTGTTTTCTCAGTTTCTGACCCCTATCTTCAATTTTCAGTGGACAGAATTTACTTCTATTGATGAATAAGAAAGAATAGAGAAGAGAAAATTTAGCCAAATAGTAGTAGAAACCAAAATTCAGCTTGAAAATAGGCTTAGCATGTATAATATAGCTATAAAATTGTAGGTATAACATGCTAATATGTGGCTAAGATACATTTTTTTGTACTTTAATACAGCATTCTTCTCATCTCTAGAGAAGGCCAATTTTAAGATTTATTGGTAAGGAGGGCATTCATTGGTACAATCACTTGCCATGTTGGCCTCATTTTTGAAGGGTTATTGTAAGTATCGCCATGGGTGGACGTGGGGAACATTTCGGAAGCTAACCCTCCTGCATACCCATATGCCATTGGCCGCTGGAGAGTCTTACAAAATCAGCACTGGCCCATGTTCTCAAGCACACTTGTAAACACGTCTCTCTGGATTAGTACTTTTAACATTTGTAAACTGTTTTCTGGCAAGCTACTTAATCAAAACTTTTAAAATGGGTGACTTTGATCATTAAAATATTAACTTGGTTTTATTTTTATTTTTTTCCAGGTGTATGGTGGCTGATGAAGTAAGTGTTTCATGATTTTTACATCTTTTATAAAATTCCACAACCAATTTTTGGTGTCTACTATTTACCGTGTATTCTTTGTCTTTCCAAATGACTCTCTGTCTATATATAGAGAGAGAAGGAGAGGGGACAGATAAAGAGAATGAGAATGAGAATGAATGTGTTGTGTATGTGTATGTGCTTGTGAATATACACACACGTGCATGCAAGGTGTGTACTTGAAACATATTAACATTAGTGATCCAAAATTTTATGTTCTTGGCAGAGAAAGCATGAATGTGCTTAAATTCAGCCTCAAATGAAACTGACTCTTTTTGTCATAATACTGCTTACTTAAAAGTTGAATTTTGAGAATTTACTTTAGAAGTTATTGTTAATTGTTTCCTATGAGTGTGAAACATAATATTAAAGTGTTACTTTATTATCACTAAACAAAACAATTTGATACATTTAAGTACCATGTACTTATATATAATATTCATGTTTTCTCACTAAAATGGAAGTTCTTGTTGTATAAATTATGATACTCTTTACATACATTCTCAGTAATGTGAATCAATAAAGTTCTCATTTTTATTCAGTTTGAGAAATGTGTTGCTGTTTTTATGATGCCTTTAAAAGTAACAGCAAAACGTTTAAAAAACAGAAATGAAGAAAACATACTGAATTTTTTAAGAAATAAAAGTGGAACCAAAGAGATTCTCCCAATTGACTGTCTTAGCTTTAGTTACATATAGACTCACCAATGGCTGATCTCCACAGTCTCTTCTTTAGGAAAAAGAATGAATTAGGGTGTAACATGAACATGAATGCTGTGCAGAAAGTTTGATACAAGGTTTCTTGGTTTATGCTGATTTATGATTACTGAAGTTTTTAGTTTGAACTCTTTATTCTATAGGCATTTGTTTAGATTAGATGTTAGGAGTTAGAAACATAGTCATTGCCTATGAAGAATTTCAACAATGTAATTGAAGGGACAGGACATAGACATTTGGGAAATAGCAGCAATTTCTATTTTGGAACAGGATGAATTCCAAAAGTCTCTTCATAAATTAATAAATTTGTGAGCCCAAAATGACTGAAAGAGGCTCACATTTTTAGTCCCTGGGTGTTTTCACCAAATAGAAATGTAAACTCATCCTTCAAAACCTCAAAACTAGGCATAAGCATTTTATATAATATATATAAAATATATGTGTGATACATACATAGATGCATGTGTGTGTTTATATCAGTTTTTTATGGCAGTCCATTTAAAGATTTTATTTATTTATGAGAGAGAGAGAGTGTGTAAGTGAGCAGGGGGAGGAGCGATGGGGGAGGGAGAGAGAAAGGGTTCTCTCTAATCTGAAGGAACATGGGGCTCGATCCCACAATCCTGAGATCACCACCTGAGCCAAAACCAAGAGTCCAACGCTCAACCAACTGAGCCACCCAGGCACCTCTATATCAGTTTTTAAACAGATCAATTTTATGTCCATAGAGATTATACTGTATCAGGTAACAACCATCTTGATAATCTCTCCACAGGTGATAGAGAGGGAAAATCTTAACAGCTGTGTTATGTCATTGCTACCTTGTTCTTTACTTTGATGTCATGGAGACGTCATAGAGACATTTGAATGGGTCTTAAATCTATGGAAGTGTTCATGGATTAAAAGAAACACTTGATTGGCCCCTTAAGCCTTCTTAACTTTTCTTCAACCAACTCCTGCTTCTCCTCAGTTAATCTTAGACTAAGAATTGTGTGGAGTTCATGATGAGCCTTTAGCCAGTACGAGTTTTTCATTATACCAACTGCTTTTCCTCATCTCTTACTATTTACAGTTTCATAGCACTTGTCACATATTGAGTGATTTCAACACCATTTGTACAACAACATTCTTATTTCTTAATTTAATAAATTTAAAAGAACTATTTAATATTTCCTCAGCACTTTAAAAAAAAACTCTACTTTGTGTCCATCATAATTACTTGTCTCTTTTCACCCACATTTTAAAGACTTCCTCTTTTGCACCTATTCGACTTTACAGGGTCATTATGTTAAATCCTATCAGTGATGTTAATTATGAAAAAAGAATCCTCAACAGTGTGATGCACAAGTGTAAGATCATAGCTCACAACCTCTAATATCCTCTGTTAGCAGTAGAGTTGAAATGCCATTTTTATGGAATCTTACTAAACTAATGTGGTGAAAGTTAGTAAATTAAAAGTGATGAAGTAGAAAGAACTTGTATATATGTAAATAATGTGAACTCTGGTTTTGACCTTCATTCGATTTTTTAATACTGTTCTTTTCTTGCTCTTATCACAAAGTGGTAGTCAAGTCAGAGAAGGAAATGTAGTTTATAATTTGGAGGTCAACCACCTTTTTCTGATTTTTAAATTAAAAAGTATGTTTTGATATGATGAATATTTGACTTATCAAATAGCTAAAAGCCTTAGGAGGGCAATTTTACATCTCTGTTATCAAACCTCCTTTTTTTAAATGCTTAAATACCCACTTGGAGTGTTGTGTAATGTAGCTGTCTACTGTGATCTTTCCTCCCCAGCTTTAAAATGACTTCCTTCAACTGGCATTACTCCTCCTTCTAGTATTTTTCCACTATCATCTTTTTCTAATGTATTCATTCCTTGTGAACTTATATAATCTATCTACTGTATATAAGGTAATAATTAACTTTAAACTGGAATGAAAACTAAATTTTAGAGAACAACAAAGCTGCAACATTTAATAAAATTAACTTTACAAACTGTTTTAAACACTTGCTATTCTCCCCCCGCATCTTGGTTTAATGCAATTAAATATTGTTTCAAGAACTGTGTAATGAATATACAGAAACTCTTGTCAATTTGTGTTCCATAAATAATGGAATTCAGACCACAGTCCACAGTGAGGCTGTTGCATTGTTACCTTGTTTTTTAATAATTACTTGTAAACCACTTTGTCCTTGTTCTTCAGTTGAAAATTATTAAAAGTCTTTATTCATTAAAAAGTTGTAAATGCTGGGGCACCTGGTGGCTCAGTCGGTTAAGCGTCCAGCTCTTAATCTTGGCCTGGGTCTTGATATCCAGGTTGTGAGTTCAAGCCCTTCACTGGGCTCCACACTGGGCATGGAGCCTACTTAAAAAGAAAAATTATAAATGTGAAGAATAGTTTCACATTAACACAAACCAGGTAATTTAATAGGATATACATGCAGAAAAATATTAAATCTACACATTTCCTACCTTACTTGTCAAGTATTTAAAAACTATTGTTCTTGGGGCGCCTGGGTGGCTCAGTCAGTTAGGCGTTTGCCTTCGGCTCAGGTCCGCATTGGGCTTCCTGCTTAGTGGGGAGCCTCCTTCTCCCTCTGCCCCTCCCCCTGCTCGTGCTCTTTCTCTGTCTTTAAAATCTTTAAAAAAAAAAACTTGTTCTTTGTAGAAATATAGTATTAGAAAATTTTACAATATTCATTTTTACTTAAGAAGATGGGATTAATATCCTGGATTTACATAATGGCCTAATATGGTGTCATAATGGACAAAAGTTTCAGTGCATGGATTCTGTCTTTACTTGTCTACAGTATCTATTATCAAAGCCAGAAAATTCCTACTTTCATCTTATTTAACATTTTTTTGTTAATACTCTATTTTAGTTCCCCATCCCTAACACATGCATGCACACACATACACACACACACTTTCTAAAAAGTTTTCTCCTTCCTGTTACTTGAGAAAACATTTGTGGGGGGGGGGGGGAAGGGAGTATACCAAATAAAGTGTTGCTTCCTTTTTCAAAAGAAAAGGAAACCATTTGTTAGGGCTGACCTACTTGGTTTCCCTTTGTGGCTATTTTGGGACACATTAATAGGTAAATATTTGGAACAAAGGCCCTATAGTCATCATTATCAATGCTTTTCTTTTGGTCAAGGTGCTTCTCTGGAAGAGGAGTTTGGAGGGGAGAGGCTCTGGGACTTATTCCATGCTGGTAGAAGTATTTCTACAGGCAAAAGTCAAGTTTGAAAACCCTTGTCAGTTTCTCTGCAGGCAGAAATGTATAGATGTGTGGAAACAGTGAAGGACCCCCTTTGAAGGTTATTTTTGCCCAGAAGACCTTAAAATTGATACTGTGATATATACTCTGCCAATATTAACTTTATAGATTTGAGGACTAAGAAATTAAAATAGACATGAAGAATTTTAGTTTTCCTTTATTATAAACCTACCCACATTTGACAAAGTGAGCTGAGATGGCAGTTTTTATTCCATTGGTATCTACAAATCTTAGATTTCCTTTACCAGGCCCAGGCTGAATTACACTGTCTCCTTGAGCTCTTACTCTTTGGGATTTATAAGCTTCCTGTGTCTGTTGATCCATTTTTGTTGAATGAATGAACTAATTAAATAGTTAACACTTGGGCGCCTGGGTGGCTCAGTCGGTTAAGCGACTGCCTTCGGCTCAGGTCATGATCCTGGAGTCCCTGGATTGAGTCCCGCATCGGGCTCCCTGCTCGGCAGGGAGTCTGCTTCTCCCTCTGGCCCTCCGCCCTCTCATGTGCTCTCTCTCATTCTCTCTCTCTCAAATAAATAAATAAAATATTTAAAAAAAAAATAGTTAACACTTAACTAACACCTGTGTGCCAGGTTCTGTTCTAATGCTTTACGTGTATTAATTTACTTCATCCTCACAACAACCCTATGGGGTGGTATTATTATTATTATTATCATTATTATTCTTATTTTATAGATGAGAAAGCTGAGGTACAGAGAGGTTAAGTAAATTGTCCAAGAATATGCAGCTAGTATGTGCTAGGAGCTGAAATATTTGACCTGAAGTAATCCAGCTCGTAAGTCTCTCTATCAATTACTATTCTATACGAAGTCTCTAGGTGCCAGACTTTCTATATTTAGCAACAGGAGTCTTTAGGACAGAAGAATCTGCAGGACATAGTACTCAAATGAATGTAGCTGAATGTTAGAATAAGGGTGATGGCATAAACATTTTGCGCTGGTGT